TAAGTTAAACCATACATACATGCATGCATACATAAATACCTACATACCTACATACATACCTACATCCCTACATGCATACATGCATACATGCATACATGCATACATGCATACATGCATACATGCATACATGCATCCATACATACATACATATGTATATACACAGAGAGAGAGACTTAAAGCAAGTCCAAGGAACCCTCCCACTAATATAGGGTCCTTACACACTACTCTATAAATAGAACCTCCCCTCCACTCGCCCTCCCTCAGCACAACCGACTCTGAACTGTCAGGGGTCTGCTCGAAGATGCCCAGAGGGTTTGGGAGAGCTCCAAAGAAAGCGGCCTGGGTGGCGGTTTAGGGTCTAGGGAAAGGGTATAGGCGGTATAGGGTTCAGGGTCTAGATAGCTTAGTCTAGAGCCTCGGGCTTGAAGGTTTTTGTCGGGGTGTTAGGGTTTTGGGGTTTATGGCGTATAATCCCGGGTTGGGTTTTTGTCTGGGGTCTCGACGTCGTTCCTCACGGCTTTAGGTTTGCGGTTCCAGAAGGCTCTTGGAGCTGCAGGATTCAGTGCGGCCCGCATGCCTTGGCCCCGAAAGTTCAAAACACTTTAGGGGTTAAAAAAAGGCCCCATAGTAGTTCTTTTTTGGGATTGCCTAATAGGATCCTGACTATGAGCCACAAAAAGGAACTACAAGGGGGCCTATGGGTTAGGCAAGCTTTCTGCTGGAGAAGGCTTCGCTTCGCTCTGGCGAGTTATTGGAATCGTTGACGATGTAATGCCTGACAGAGCTGCGGTTCTGCACTCGCTTCAAGAGTCCTTGCTGTTCTGTCGCTCGTTTGGGACATGTTTGCTAAGTCACTTCCACGTCGCAGAAACTCTCAGCTGTACACCCTAAACAACTACCAAATGCATTCCTTAGGGTTCGTTTTTCATCATTCTACTATATAAGACATAAGACTCCGTTGTAGTTAGCAAGGCCCCTAAACATGTAATCATTGTACTCTGATTGCCTACTCTAGTTATTCAGGCTCCCAGAAAAGACACATCCCACTTCCAAGGCCCGGGGCCGTGCGCAAGGCGCGGAAGGCATCCCAGGGAGGGCGTTGCGACTCGCCCTCTGCAGCGAGGGCCGTCGTCCTCAAACCCTATAAACCCTAAACCCTCTGAGGGGTCATGCAAGGGCTTCTGCAGGAGTTTTTCAGGTTCTGGGGGGTTTAGGAGATGAGGGTCGATGAGGGTTTTGGTCTGAAGGCTGGGTTTTAGGAACTAAAGTTTGGGAGGAATGTCCGAATGTGTACTCAGCAAATCTTAACGCGGTGATTTCTGTAGTTGTGATATAGGGTCCCGAAAGTCTCAATGACCTATGATCTAAATCCCACATATACATATAAATATACATATATATACATATATATATATATAGTTTTTGTCAAACCTCCAACTCCAAATCTTGAGCCCGTGCCCGAACTCATTGCTCCTTGCGGTGCTTCGAGATCCGCCAAGGGCCAAGCTGACAAAGACTTCCTGACCCAAGCTGGCCACGAGGAGCAGAGCCAGGCCTCTCTGTGTTTAGGGTTTAGGGTTTAGGGTTTCGGGTATAGGGGTTTAGGGTTTAGGGTTTAGGGGTTTAGGATTACAAGTACCCTCAAATAGGGGTAGATGGTCCCAAATTAAGGGTATTTAGGGTCTAATAGAGGGTAGATGGAGGGTCTAGGTGTGTGCATGAATCAGGGCTTAGAGCATTGGACCCTGGAACCCCCCACCCCTCGTCCTAAACGCTACGTAAAGCCTAAACCCTCCTAGGCCCGGCTTCCTCAGACCCAGAAAAATTTGTGACAGAATATAACGTCTCCCAGCAAGGTCGTTCAACACTGGAATCACGTCGTAGAAGTAGTATCAATACTGCAGACGACAACGGTGTAGAGTTTACAAAGCATTTGGGGTCTAGGATGATATAGAAATCAGACTGGGTAAACATGTCACTACTTGAGACGTGAAACATCAGGTTCCCAGTTCTGGATCAAAAGGAGGGTGACCAGGTTAGGGTTGCTGTTGAGTCCCCGCATCACCCAACTAGTCCTGAAATGTATGCTTCAACTAGCCATATCATCCCCGCTGCCATACATACTTGCATAGTAGTAATACTAGTAATCGAGTAATAGTTTCCGATAACCGTATTGCACAAGCACAATACATCATGGCAACAATATATGCGGCGCAGTAATGCCTCTGCTCCTTCACCGTGTTCCTAAAACATCTGCCTACGTTCAAACTCCAAGCTGACGGAAGTAACATGCGTGAGCTTGTCTGTAACCCCATATGTGCATTAACACAGCAAGCTGGGAAGCTTATTGTAAACATCCTCAAACCGTAGAGCCAAGGCACCTACTGTTCAATGAGTGCACATACTCCGATTATAGAAACGTCCATCAACTTTCGTATCTTATCTGAGGACGCTTCGCTGTGCCTGCTGCGGCGCAGCTGGACCGATTGCGATGAGAGGCCATGGCGCCAAAGGCTGCGACAAACGGTATCTACACGGAATCTACCCTAAACCCTAAACCCTGAACCCTAAACCCCAAAAAGCCCCAGTATGGAGGATTCTGGACCCCAGGACAAATGCACTGCAGAGAAGTTCGCGGAAAGATGTCTGCCTTGCATCTTCCCCGAACAAGCGATAAGTGTGCATATTATGTTTAGCACCTGTGTGTTTGCCTGCAAGTATATCTGAACAAAGCCATACGAAAAACATCGCCGATACCCATGGGACCGCTTTTGTCGGAAAGCATTGTAGTCGCCACCCGCTGAAGCCCAGATTCTGCACGAGGCTGTAATCAATCCACTGCCAACGACCTCTTCTTCGAACGAATGCAGCTACTGTCCATGGTTTTCGCAAACCCCAGGGTCCGAGTACCTACCTATGGTCTCCATTGTAGTTCCTTTTTGGGGATATAAAAAACCTAAATATATAGGAGACTATAGGTCTATAGGTATCATCCTGTACAGTTTATCCTTGAGCCGGACACCAGCTACATGGGAAGCCCGTCGAGCCTCGGAACTACGCTGCTGGGTCGATTCCGTAGTTTGAGAGGTACCGGTTTAGGGTTTAGGGTGTACTGTTTAGGGTTTAGGGTTTAGGGTTTACTGCTTTGAGAGGTACCGGTTTAGGGTTTAGGGTATACTGCTTTGAGAGGTACCGGTTTAGGGTTTAGGGTTTACTGTTTAGGGTTTAGGGTTTAGGGTTTACTGTTTAGGGTTTAGGGTTTAGGGTTTACTGCTGAGGGTTTAGTTAGGGTTTAGGCATATTGAAATACTGGAGCCTCTGGGCACTCGTTTTCCTACGCCCGAATCTCTCAGAACCCGAGCAATCATCTACTGCCCTGTACTGAAGCCTCCCACGGTCCAGCACCTCTCGATTAAGTACTTGGTTGGGGGCACTTAGAGATGCCTAAGATCCCCGACCAGACCATAAAGACGATCCCCATGAATGCCTATAAAGCCTCTATAATACCCCCCCCCCCCGCCTATAAGACACCCCAACTCCTAAGACTCTTGGAAACCACAAATCCTAAACCCGATTCGGAGGCTGGGATCCGGTCCGATGGCTTGCTGCCTGTCGTGCCACACAGACACAAGTCTGTTTAGGGTGTGTTTAGGGGGCTTGGGATTTAGGGCATCCGTTCGGTAAGCATTTCACAGAGCCCCAGTCCAAGATCTCTGAAGACCGTAAACCCGCCCCGAGACTACTTGTCTCTCTTGCGGTTTGGTGCGCACGGTTTCTGTTTCTTGTTTCCATGTTCTGAGCTTTTTGAACCTTAAAAACCCTGAACCGCTTTGGGGCCTAAGCACAGAGAGAGAGAGAGAGCACGGGGTGGTCTTCGAAGCTTTTCGGAAACGAAGCGCGGGAAGGAGAAGAGAGGCTTGGGAGACAAAGGCAAGCTTGCCAGGGTTTAGTCAGGATGCATGGCTCAAGATTTACAGGGTTTTACCCGTTTTGGAGCTCTATGGGGGCTGAAAACGTCAACTTCGGAGTCGTATGACTTTCTTTGCCGTGCTGCACTTGAAGAGATCATGCAGCTGCCTTGGGAGCTCCAAGCAATGATGGAGCCTAAATTCCTACGTGTTGGGAGACTTGCTATACTACAAGCCCTCCATGGGAATGCTACTTGTAAGCAGAAGCTCCTGTACGGAGAATCAGAAACCCTAAACCTCACCTTAACCCCCAAAACCCTGGTTGCCATTTGCGCAGACTTGTACCCTAGGAGAGGTCTCTGCTAGCACACACGCGAAAGAGGGGTTCAGCAATCCAGCAAGTAAGAATCTCGGCCCTTAAACATAGGATCTTTGATATGCAGACCGCCAGAAGGGGGACCCTCCGTTAAGAAAACCCTGTCTGGATTCATGTTACACCCGAAATCCCAACTGAAAGCCAGATGTAAACCCCTGTCATTGCTAAAAAACCCTATAGATAAACCCTAAACCCTTTGAGGGTCCCTTCAACAAGCCCTGGCAAATCTCCCAAGACCCTCAAACCCTAAAACCCTAAACCCAAAACCCTAAATCCGAAATCCTAAAACCCGAAACCCTAAAACCCGAAACCCTAAAACCATAACCCTAGAATCTCCAAGCCCTAAATCCAACCCAGGGATTCTTTTGACGCCTCCTAGAGGACCACCGGCTGATGACACCTTGGTTTAGGGCTTAGGGTCTAAGGTT